CAATAAATACCGGTTAATCAGGAAAATCGGTTCTGGATCTTTCGGAGAAATATATCTTGGGGTGAATCAAATCAATGGAGAAGTACGTTTCGCATTATTTACGTCTTCAGTGCCTACCTTGACAGGAAGTGGCTGTTAAAGTTGAAAGTCGTTACGCGAACCATCCCCAGCTTCCTTATGAGAGTAAAATATACCGCATCCTGAACGGCGGAATCGGCATACCACACATGAGGTTTGCCTCGTTCAAATAGGCTAAACTTTTAGGTGGTTTGGCCAGGAAATGAATTTCCACTTCCTCGTTATGGATTTGCTTGGTCCTAGTCTCGAGGATCTTTTCCTGTTTTGTAGCCGGCGTTTTACGAACAAAACAGTGCTGATGCTAGCCGACCAGATGCTTTCACGCGTTGAGTTTGTCCACAATAAATGTTTCGTGCACCGCGACATCAAACCCGACAATTTTTTGATGGGGATTGGACGTCACTGCAACAAACTCTATATAATTGATTATGGTTTGGCCAAGCGTTTCAGTTGCCAGCGTACCGGGCGGCACATCCCTTATCGGTATAGAAGTATCTCATTTTTATAGTTTTATGTTAGAGAGGACAAGAATCTCACTGGGACTGCACGTTACGCTAGTATCAATGCACACCTAGGGATAGAACAATCTCGTCGTGATGATATGGAATCTTTGGGATATGTTCTTATGTATTTCAACCGTGGGTCGTTGCCATGGCAAGGTTTGAAGGTACGTCTAAAGTTATCGTAAAATATGGTTTGATGTCTTTATTCACATTCGCAATAACTGCAGTCATATTCATCGTGTCTCAAATTATTTATCCACACTTTCAACATTAACACTAAGCTAAATTCGGAATGCATGCGACTAAGAAATATATTTTAAAAAAAAAGTGCCAGCAAGGCTAACGAAGGCCTGGATGGCAATTTTCGACTTAGTCGTTGGCAGTCAGCACTACCCAACCACAGGTTTCCCGGACTTAAGATTGAAGCCCGGTTTAGTAGGTTTATGACCGTTACTGGTATGAGCGCCCTACGATGTTGTTACGGACCTGTTCGATCGATTGCGTCCAGGAATATTAACTGTAGTGGAGGCTCATTCACCAATCAGGTTCCAATCCCGTAGCTTTTCGGGGCACAGCCTCGTCTTCGCAGGCATTCACATAGTGATAAAGTGACGAATATGCCCCGTAACCTGATCGGTAACTGCTGTCCGTAATACTTGGTATCTATGTTAATTGATGGTCACAGGTATGCCAGTCATGCGTGTCTGCTCCGTTGTAGCGAATATTACTTCTTTGTTTATGCGTTTGTTGCCTGTTAAAGTCTAAGATTATGCAAACCTGCCTCACGACGGCGAATAAAATAGTAGTGGCCGTCGTAGTCTCATTCGCCTTCTAATTCTGAAATCCATAAGCTGCTGGAATTGTTTTTATCTTGCTCATCCATGTCTTTGATAAATTCAAAAATTGTTTTAAAGGTAGGGGCTCGCTTCTTTGTAACGCCCGTGACATTGAACATGTTTTCCCAAAAACAAATTCAGGTTACGCGCTGAACTTTTATTCCATAATTTCCTATATATAACCCACTCAAGCATGATGAAATACATGATTTCTTTGAAAAAACTCGCTTTGCAGGCCAACACTAAGCGGCAAAAGTATGAGAGAATTAGCGAGAAGAAGATATCCACACCCGTTGAAGTCCTTTGCCGAGGCTATCCAGCCGAGTTTGCTATGTACCTTAACTATTGCCGCGGTCTCCGGTTTGAAGAACCACCGGACTACATGTACTTGCGCCAACTGTTCCGCATCCTTTTCCGAACTCTGGGTCATCAGTTCGACTTCCTGTTCGATTGGACGATGTTGAAACAACGGTCGTCCGC